CAAAAGTAATGAAAGTTAAGCGTTACAAATGGGGACTAAAATACAAAAACTGGACAAAAGAAGATTGGAGAAAAGTCCTATTCAGCGATGAAAGCCATTTCTATGTTCATGGTCAGAGAAGTCAGTATGTTCGGAGGTCAGAGGGAGAAAAGGTTCGTGATTCCCACACTTTGTGAAACACCCACAAAAGCAGATGTTTTGGGGGTGCTTTAGTTATTACGGCGTCGGCGCTTTGCATCCAGTCCAGGGCATGATGCGCTCCCCACAATATGAAGAAGTTCTCCAAAGAAGAGCTGTTCCAGAACTAAAAAAGACATTTTCTGACGGATCTGGCGTATTTCAACATCTTTGGTCCCTGTACCAAACTTGAATTAAAGCTTGAATAAGTTTCTCCTTTGTCGTACAGTCCATGCCACGAAGGCGTTGCTTGCAAATAGACCACATATTTTCAATGGGGTTTAAATGTTGTGAATTCCCAGGCCAGTCCAAGATGGTTATTTGATTAGTATTGAAAAACATCTTGCGCATTTTTGATGTGTGGCACGGGGCCAGATCCCGTTGAGGAACTGATTTCTCTTCCTTTCTCCCCCAAATCACGTTTTAACGCATCACTAGTCTTTCGAGGATCTTTAACACTTTCCCGTATTAGGTAAGCGTCATTCCTGGCAGTGGTTTTCCTCTTAGGACCACATTTCCCATTGCCTTTTGGCGAAATGCACCCCGTTTCCTTTTTCTTTTTGACCACACGGCTGACGTTGCCGGACTGACGCCTACTATTCTTGCTATGTCCCTGTAGGTCTTGTCTGTGTGTTCGTGCAAGGTCACGATCTTTATGCGCCATCTGGGAGTCACGTCCATCTCAAACAATGACTGAATCACAAAAAACAAGAAGTTGAAATAAAAACCTTACTAACCATAAAAAGTATGACGCAATCTTGGGTGATGTAACGACTAGACCTGCGCAGTTATTACATCGTATATCACAAACCATTATGAGTATAAAAACATGATATTCATAGAAAAAGAGACACAATCGTAGTTTGTTTCAAGTAATGTGCACAAGGATGTAGAGTAAAATGGCACCAATGTTTGCTGAGAATACTCGGATTTTTGTTCTCATACTAATTTCCGTCCTTCGCAGCAATTTGTTTCTCAGTCGTAAGAAGGCTGTTCTGGCGCTGCCAATACGATTCCGGATTTCGGATGTAGCCTGAAAATTGGGGAGAATAGTAGATCAAAGGTACTTGAATTCAGGAACAGACTCGATGAGTTGTCCATGTAAGGAGAGCGACGGGATGCACTGGGTGGCTGGCGATCAGAAGTATTTCGTCTTGCTGATGTTAATTTCGTGCCCGATCATAGAGGCTGATTGGTCGACCCGATTTAGCAGTGACTGTAGTGATATAGGATCTTCTGCTAGGATAGCGATATCATTAGCAAATTCCAGGTCTGACAGCTAGACGTCATGGCTAACTTGAACACCACGATAGCCCTTAAGGGCATGAGGCATAACCCAGTCGACTGCGAAGTTGAATAGCACTGGAGAAAGTGGGCGACCGTGCCGGACTCCAGTATTGATGTCGAATTCCTTTGTTTGTTATCCGTAGACCCGAATCCGGACCTTCTTGCAACGGTAATATGATTTCATCAAGTTAACGAAGTTAATCGGCACGCCATCGGCAAGTAGGATTCTCCAGAGTGTTTCACGGTCAACTAAGTCAAAGGCAACTCGAAAATGAACGATGCAAACAAACGTGGGCTTCTGGAACTGTTAGCAGTATTCGAGTACCCGACGTAGAGTGAAGATTTGGTCAGTGAAGCCTCTGACTGGACGAAAGCCATCTTGGTTATGGCGAGTTCACAGGTTCCTCTCATTGGCAAAGTTGGAAAGCAAGATTCATGCGCAGGTTTTGGCCGCCACATCGATTAGGGTAATCCCGCGATAATTACTGCAAACAGTTCAGTCACCTTTCTTGGGAAATGGCAGTAATACTGAGGTACTTCACCAAGGACAGATTTCGGTCTCCCATATCTACCAGAAAAGCTCGTGCAAATGGTCAAGAATCGCTGGCAGACAAGACTTGTCGATTTCGGCTGGAATCCTGTCTGCTTCAGAAGCTTTCTTCGGCTTCAGGGGACGAACGATATCCGCAATTTCTGTGGGAGATGGCGATGAGCAATCCGCGTCATATCCAGACTGGGTTGATGCTGACATGAGTGCGGGGGTGTGTAATGGGCGGTTTAGGAGATTGCTAAAATACTTTACTCATATGGAAAGTTTTCCTTCCGTATCAAGGATGATTTGGCCATCCGAACTGCGAATTCTGGGGAATTCGTGAGACGTGCTTATTTCGCTTTAGCAGACAAGCGGATAGTATCTCCAGTGATCCAGTTCTTCACAGGCTTATAGGTACAGCTTAGGGTAGATAAAGCGGCGCGTAGAACTGACCAGGTTCGCCTAGACCAACGAGCGTCGACAGAAGCATCTGCAAGTACGAAGCGTGGTGCACTGGCAGAAATTGTCGCTTCTATTGCTGTCTCAAGGCGATCGGCAGCAGTCAGTATTTTCCAGTGGAGCAGTGTTGATACGTTTTGGTGGAAGGGTCTTCCTTCAAGCGGATTCCTAATTTGGCGCGCAGGAGCACGTGGTCCAAACCACCTTTATTGCCTGTTTCAGCCCCTCTGTACGCTCGACAGTCATCAATGGAGGACATCCACTGGGATCGGATTGAGATATAATCTACCTGGCTTGCTGTACGACCATCGTTGGAGTACCACGTCAGTAGATGCTTCCTGGGATGCTGCAAGCGAGTAGTGGTTACGCACAACCGGTTAAGGTCAGCGAAGCTAAGCAAATGGTCTCCATTATCGCAGCGCTCTCCAAGGGCGTATCTCCCGAGTATGTGACGGCTTTGTTCGTTCCTAGGACCGGTTCGTGCATTCTAGTCCCCAGCAATAATGATGTCGTGTTTTGGAACATGGTTTATCACTGTCTGTAGAGTATCGTTAAATACGTCTTTGTCCCTTTCCGCTGAGGGTAGGGTTGGTGCGTAGACAGAGATTATGATCAAATTCATTGGGTGACCTTTGAAGCGAGCAACTGCCATTCCATCTGACACTGGTTTCCATGAAAGTAGAGCGTTGTGTGCCTGGCAACTGAGTACGATGTTGACCTGATGATTGCCAGAATTATCTTCCGGCCCACTGTGGTAAAGTCATTATGACTTTGATTTGTCCACAGCCAAAGCTGGCTATTCGAGATTCTGACCAGTTGTGGGTGTATTACCTCATGAATCGAGCTCACTCACTGCATACTTATGCATTCAACTCACCGATGCTTGCTCAATATCGTTTAGTTAGTGTTTGCCAGTGAATCATCGGGCTAGATCTTCTTTCTGGTTGGGATCGCACTCGTTAGCTAGGTCGCGTTATCCGAGCACCTGCTAACCGCCCACCCTGGCGTGTGTTGTTCATCAGTACACATGTCTAGATCAATTCTCAGGCTGATCAAGTAACCATATGGCTTAGGGACACTGATGCATTGCCCCTCCGTAACTTGGGTCGTCTAGCACGTCTGTTACTAAGCAGAGTCCTTGGGACCATCCACCGAAGCGGCAAAACGCGCCTTGAAGAAGAATTCGGTCACTGAACCAATGGTGGCTCCGCTTGTCTACTTCTTTAATCTATTATCGTCTTCTCATTATTTATCCCTTTATTATTTTTGTTTATGTTTCTGAATTCCCTTTAACTTCGTTGTTGACCATTTTCCTCATGTTTACGCCGGTCTTGCAACGTGGTATCAGGATCATACTTGCATATAACAACAACAACAATATGATGCCAAGTGTCTGAGCCATTCTATTTCTGACTTGACACCACACTCCCCATCAGTCTTCGGCCTCCACGAATGTTTCATGTGACTTATAACGACATGGCTCTTTATCGTTTTATCTGTGGCTACATCATTTCGCTAACATCTGGATCAGACTGCAGTTAGTCTTTAGAACGTTGGATATTTTTTGTCGTCGCTTTCTCTTAACACCGCACTTGGCGTTTGTTTGACTTCCCCACGTCGTGACGGCATGACTCGGATTTCGTCAGATGGACGCTTATCCTCCGGATACTTTCTGCTCAATAACTGACCAACTTACCATTCTCAGGTACTTTTTTGGCGCTGACCAGAAATCTGTTGTCGACACAGCTAACTTTTTGTTCGATTGCCGTCTTCAGTATGCCATCTCATTTGAACTGGTAACTCTATTCATAAAGACCATGGAGTTAACTGGAGAGGCTCGTTCCCAGAATAGTGCACCACAACTTGACTTGTCTAATCGTAAGCAGTGTCTACGCCCAAGATGCCCACACTTCCTACCGTAATCTCCGTATTCAGAATCTAGCTTCATGCGATTAATTCACATCCGATTTCTAGTGCTTATGCGTCATTCGTTGCGCTAACGACCGTAAGGATAACTTGTCATCATAGCCGTCGATATCCCACAGTCTATCTCTTTCCGACGTCTGATGGGTTCCATGTGCGGATTCTGCAAGTAAGCTAGTGCTTGCACCCATCTGCATCATCCGAAGTACTGTCCCTTTCTTTTATGGCAGCCTAACATCCTATAATGAGGATTCCAAGGAAATGTTTTCCTTCCGTTCAATGTTCTAAATCATTTTGATACCCATCACCAAAGTCAACTGCATCCACTATTAATGTTTGCAGGAATTTCACCGTTTTTTCGTTTCTTTTTGGCCCACTGTTTTTTTACTCTGGATGATCGTTGAACCTCCTGCTGCGTCCACGTTCTCGGCTGTTTCTGATGCTACCATCTGTTCACCATCACGGCCCATCCTTTTCTCTGTCGCTCTATCGGCTGTAAGCTTTATACTCTTTTGTCTGTTCTCGTCACGTGACATAATATTCTGCTGTAACCAAGGATTTACCATTCAGGTCGCCTCATATGCATGAGCTAATATTACTTGTTTTTATTTCTTGTCTCAAGAAAGCTTACTCGTAGCGGCCGACTTTGGAATTCAGACGCGTGTTCGCTTCTCTTCCGGTCGGCAGTCATCCTCTCGTTTCATCCCCATCGACTGCCTTCGTGGTATCCTATTAATGGATCGGGTCACTCCGTTCACAGTCACGCCGTATTTAGCAGCAGAATTGGAGACACCTACACTACTTCGAGATGCTGTCGACGCGACGGAAAACAGGAAGCCAGAACGAACACTGTTTCCCCTTTTGCCCACCCATATCACACATGATGGCAAGCAATTCTCCAGTCATGTATGCTTACCTCTTCCTACCTTAGTTTTTGTGTACCGGTTAATATATTTGGTGTGCTGCCCAACTCGGTTGGCATCTGCGGTCGAATCACGCTTCCCTAATACTCAGACTGTTTGAATTCCTATTCCTTCTCTTCAACTTTCTATCCACGTGTTGTGGTGGTTTCTTATTCCCGGTGACCTCTGCTTCCCCTCAGTGAATAAAATAGACACAACTTACTGATCCCACTCCCGAGTTCGAGCTGTAGTAATTTCTCAAACAATTAGGCCTGGAAGAAATGCATGGTTTTGGGAATGTGTATGAAGATTTTTCGCCTCATGTTTCCCAATCACATCTGAATATCTAGCCTGGACGGGAACCGAGCTCGTGTGTGTGCTTGTATGCCACCAAAAAATAAATTACGTACGACACTGAGCTACTCATAAATGGTACGTAGTATAATTCACCTATTTGGTTTTGGTACGCGCTCGCCTTTCCATTTTTCGTTTGGCCTCGTTGATCAAACGACCATCCTACTCTGCTTGGTTTACCAGTGAGACGGCTGTACTAGGTTACTGATTGTGATGACTGTATGAACTTCCAAGCGGCTCCTTCCTGTTGCTGCCAATGGTTGTGCGCTTGCGGTCTCAATGGTGTCGTATCCACTAGGAAGTTGAAGCAGAGTGAACGAAGTTCCTCAATCGTCCTGGGACATCACACCGGGGAAAATAGTATTTTTGTTTTGCAATAGTGGATGTGGTAGTTTGAGTGCAGCTCCACTCCTCGAAGTTCCCAAATCATTACAGTGGATCGGTACTTCAAATGCCGAAGAACGACAAAGATGGTGGATGCTGCTTTTTGTACATAACCTGCCGCCCAGCTAATGAGGCGCAATGGGCATGAAATATCTGTAATAATAATAATCTTACTAATAATAACAAAGGAGAGCCAACTACGAGTGTAAGTACGCGTTCACTTAGGTGTATATTCAGGATGATGGAAATGCGTACTCTCGAGCTGGAGCCAACATTTCACCAGAGTGATGGAAGTGTGTATCCACTGAGAATATGTGAACATAACGTATCAACCATAAGGCAGAAGGGATACCGGTGAGTAAACAAATATGATGGCTTGGGCGAGTGCATCTGTTCCACGTTTCCGAACAGTTAACTGACAGATGTCATTGCACAAATTAATCAATGCACGGACGTAGCTTGTCGACAAGTGTTTGGAAAATCAGACCCCCTAGCAAATTAACTAACGTGATAAGAAAATAAAGAATTGCTGTTCCAGGCATTTGCTTTTATTATTTGACAAAATAGTGTGAATGTATCTGACCGTTGGAGGATGCGTGCAATCAAATTTGTAATGAGCATAGGGGATAGAAGTGATGTTATGTTTACGGCATCTAGTGGTTGACAGAAAACTACACTACGCACGCATACACACATGATTTGGGCTCCATATGACTCATTTCGCCGGTTTCAACAAAACCTAGGTTTCGGGCGTTCTCATGTTTCAGCAACTAGAACGCTAGGGTTAGAGCAAACGGGTGACCGGTATATACCCACCTGTATGTTATAACGCTGCGCCCGCAATCGACCAGTTGATTCACGCCTGCTGCTAAATCTGCTCGCTTACGCGTGCTCTGTTTGACGCCTTGGCAAACCCGACAGGAAGGAAGACAGCAGCCAGCGGACCAGAGTTGTATTAGGACAGAGAACGCTCATATTTATATATCGGTCTTACCAACCCTCCAAACATCACCAGGCGGATTTGGCTGTAAGCCCACGCTCCACACATGCTTGTCCGCTCCGTCTGTCCAGTTCACCGTCTTGCTCGGGCACTCCAGTCTTCGTCCGCCTACCCGGTGCATGGCAACGCACGTGATGTCTGACGCGCGATTTCATCAGCTTTCGGCTGGGCCCTGGCAACACGCTCGCAGGGTCTTTCCCAAGCACGAATTGTGGCAAACACGCGAGTGTTGGCAATCAGCTTTCTCGCCCAGCTGTCACCTCCCCTTCCGAATTGAGTCAGCCTGCACACTCTTCGAACTTGATTGTGTTCGTAGTTTTTCGCCCGGGGATCGATTTGCAGCCATTGTGGTCTTCTCCGTTTCCGAGCCGGCCTGTATTGTGCATCTGATTTCTGCGGCATTTGTTTCGTCTCACCTGGTTGCTAACTCTCATCTTCCAGCCCGAACGTGTCTAGTAGGATGTCCCAATGTAATGCTGGTGGTTCTTGGGGACCTTGGGTTTTGCCATGATTCGGTCTCAACTGATTGATGTGCCTAATCCATCTCTCACGTCCAACCGTCACCTCGTAGATAACTTTGCCTTTGCAGCCGATAACCGTTCCGCTCGACCACCCTTTCGGCCTTCGAAAATCCCGGGCGTAAACCATGTCACCAACATTGAAGTTACGGAGCTTGATTTTGCAATCTTCCTCCAGGTGACTGTTGCCGTGCTTTTCTATTCTTCTCGGTAAAAGATTATTGAACAACGTCCGGATCTTCCTTCCAAATAGTACCTCTGTGGGGGCTTTCCCATCAGGGGAGTTTGGATTCGGAGCGTTCCGATACATGCATAGGAAAGGCTGAATTGCATCCTGTGCGCCCCTTCTTTTCCCTGCCTTACAGAGTGCACGTTTGAACGTATCCACAAACCTTTCCGCCTGTCCGTTTGATTGCGGATGATATGGTTTTGAGAACATCTGAATTCCCTTATATTTGCATCACTCGCGAAAAGAAATCAAGGTATATTGTGTTCCATTGTCTGTCACTAACACTTCTGGCAGGCCGAAATATCGGAACAGCTTCTCCAGCTCGTTGATAGTGTGCTGTGCAGTCGGATTGTTTACCGGGATCACATCAGGCCACTTGGTGAATGAGTCTACCAAAACGAGATAGGATTGTCCATTGGTTGGTCCTGCATAGTCTAAGTGTATTCGTTGCCACCGTTTTTCTACTTTAGGCCAAGACTGCCACTGACACTTAGGAGGGGCCTTCGCTGCAAGTTGACAAGGTCCACACTGTTGGCAAAATTTTTCAAATTCTGAATCTATTTCTGCCCAGTAAACAAAACTGCATCCCAAGGCTTTCATGCGGCTGGTACCAGGGTGCCCCGTGTGGAACTGCTGCTATATTTGCCTCTGTAATTTCTTTATCACCACCACTCGATCTCCAAACATCAGACAATTGTCCACGACTGACAAGGATCCACGTCGATTGTATAACGGCCGCAACTCCATAGGTATGCCTCTATGTGGCCAACGGGTTCGTACACACTGCATCGCTTTCTCCAAAATTCTGTCCCGTGATGTCTCTATAAGAATGGTGTCGGCTATTACTAGTAGTCTTCTCACATTATCAGCCAGGATTCGTTGGACTTCTGATTCGAAACTGATAGCTGCAATCACACAATCATCCTTCTCCTTTGGATGTGAATTGATAAGACGAGACAGGGCATCAGCTTGACCGATTCGTTGCGTCGATTTATACTGTATACTGAAGTCGTAGGCCAGTAGTATGGTCGCCCATCGTTGCAATTGGTTTGCCGTAAAAACCGGAATTCCTTTCTTTGACCCGAATATCAACAGAAGTGACTTGTGGTCAGTCAGGAGCGTGAAATGTCTGCCATACAGCAACTTATGGAACCGTTTCATTGTGAAAACGATCGCGAGCGCTTCCTTCTCTCTCTGGCTATAGTTCTTTTCAGCTGGCGCTAGTGACCGTGCTGCGTGCGCGATAGCCTTCTCTCCATGCGGAAAAACGTGGGAAATAACTTCACCGATACCATAATTGGAAGCATCCGAAACAACGACAATTTTGAACTTCGGATTGAAGTGAGTCTAGTAGGTCAGAAGTGAGCGCTGCTTTGACTGCACCAAAAGACTGCTGGCACTCCTTTGTTCATTTCCAACCCTTGTCTTTTGTCAGTATCTCGTTCAGCGGACCTCTGGTTTGATGAAGGCTTGGTAAGAAAGCGCTGTAATAGCTAACGAGCCCAAGAAACGAGCGGAGCTCTGCAATGTCTTCTGGGGGCTTCATCTTTTTGATGGTTTTAATATTGGCGGGATCCGGGCGCCGGCCATGTTTGTCGATGATAAACCCAAGAAATTTGACACTTTCTAATAGGAACTCACATTTTCAGCCCGGAGTCTGAATCCAGCTTCTTCGAAACACGAAAGCACTCTCTCCAGCGTCTGTATCAAGTCTTGCGAATCTGAGCCCACAATCAACGCATTATCCAGGTATACTGCTGTATTTAGGATATCGCTCAGCAGGGTATCCATTATTTGTTGAAAAATGCGCGGTGCGGTTTTCACTCCGAACGGCAGCCGGTTGTACTGAAAAAGTCCGAGGTGGATATTTACTGTCAGCAATGTTCTGTACTGAAGTGAAGGAGCTGATAAAGTGTCTTCCTTCTGCTCTCTATCATCCAATAATGGGCAACTGGGATTTGCAGATGCGCATCGGCTAAGTCAAGTTTTGCGAAACATTTCCCCCCATTGAGTTTGCTGAACAGGTCTTCTGGTACTGGCAGGGGATACTGATGATCTTCCAACACAGAATTCAAACCTGTCGAGAAATCAGCACAAATACGGGCTTTACCGTTTCCTTTCTTTACCAACACGATAGGTGCTGCCCATTTTGATTAGTGAACTCGTTCGATTATCCCTTCAGACTGTAGTCGGTTTAACTCGGCTTCCACTAAGGACTGGGTTGCGTAGGACACCGGGGGTCTTGGTCTATAGACTAGCTTAGCATCTGGTTTAAGGTTTTATATGGCAGTAGGTATGTTGCAGCATCCGAGACCAGATTGGAACAATGCATCGTGACGTCGTTTTAACTCGGTAATTTGACTTTGAAACATCAGGCTTTACGGTGACGGCTGCGACAGCAGATTGACTTGCGGTGACTGACATATACTGTTTGATCAAGCAGTTTCATTTCATCCATCCAGTCGAGCCCCAACAAATCTAACCTCGGCTGGTCTGTCACGAAACAGGTCGTCTGGATTTGTTTATCGCGGAAGTTTACCCGACAATTCAGTTCACCAAGCAATTTTAACGTACCTCCTGAAGCATTCCGTGCCGTGTGGTGCGTTTGTATCGAGTGTCGTTTGCTCCAGCATGCACTAAGTGTCATGAGATATCAGGGCGATATCTGAAGCCGTGTCAATTTGTAACTTGACTTGGAAGCCGTTAATTTTCACAATCGTGTATTTGCGCTTGCTGGCCCCGTCAACCTTGAATGTTGCGGTGATGGATCTGGTCAAATTGGGACGCCTGAACGATCTGGCATT